CAGCTATATCAATGCCCTATTATTCTACAGAATTCTATATATGTAATACTGGCATAATGTATCATACATAGAGGCTGTTCACATTTTTATCAGTTGGAATAATATACCTAAATGTAGTATCTCACAAATATGGAAACCAACAGTTATAAAAGTTAACTGGATTCCCTAATGTTGTATATCTAGTAAATGGGAAATTCAAGATTTTAACATTCAAAATCCATTCCCAGAGTTATGTATGATACTTCAAAATAATTTAAAACCATATCCCACTCTCAGTAAAGTGCTGGTATCAAAGACAGTAATATTGTTGCTTTGGAAAAATAATAGTAACTCATCGTGACAGATGATTTCAACATAATAAACTGTTATTATGCATTTACTATCAAGTAAATGCATGGTACTTTGTATTTATCCATTCTCAAAAAACAGCTTATCTCACAGCATTAGGGAGGCCGAGGTAGGAGGATTGCCATGAGTTCAAGGCTAGCTTGGGCTACATAAGCAAGTTCAAGGGCAACCTGCACTACACAGTGAGACCCCTTAAAAAAAATCTTATCCTGCAGTGAACTCTAAACTCTAAAATAAGATGAATAAAGTAAAAGGTTTTCTACTAATCTTTTTTTTTTTTTTTTGCCTTTTTCCTTTTTATCGGTACCGGTGACTGAACTCACGACCGCCTGCTGGCAAGGCAGGCGCTTATGCCGCTGAGCTAAATCCCCAGCCCCTATTAGTCTATTTTTAAGTCACAGTGAAAACTAGAAAAGGCTTTGTTCAATTCATGAGGTAAGAAACTTTGGCATAAAATAGAAATCCTCCTATAGCTTGGCATAAGTGATTACTAAGACAGTATTATATCGGAATAATTCCATGTTAATACTGTCTTGAACATATTGATAATAAAATATTAACATCAATGAGGATGTCTTAAAAGCTATTTATTTAAAAAAAACTAATGATTGCATAATATGAGCCAAACAATGTGCTAAATTCCAAGTGAACAGCAACATTTAAAAAAGATGTCTTTATGCTGAAGAAATTTATGATTTATAGGAGATTAAGTAATATTAGAGGCAATATTAAATAAAGCAAGAGAAAAAAATCAGACAAAATGAAATAACATGCTACCTTTTGAAAACCCCATGAAGTAGGGAGTATCTTGGGTTTAGCACAGGTAGACAGCAATGGTGCAAAAAGGGACAAAAGTGGGGGAGCAGCGTAAAACTACAGTGTAGTGTCCCAAGTGTTTTTAGAAGATGTTGGGCAACAGGAAGCAACTAAAGACAGTTATTCATATTAACTGTACCTCGTTCTTCCTTTCTACAGTTACTTTATCTCTGAAACAGATAAAGCACTATTCTTCTTGTTCTCCGCGGATTACAAATATTATTCTACGATTGCTGCTGTAAAGTCAGCAATTCTGCCACTCCTTTGTCAACATAACTTTTATAATAGTCCGTCTAATGTCAAATGGCTATCTAAACCACAGTGTTCAGCAAGTTTTAAAAATTCAGCATGGCTGAAATTCATTTGGGATTCTCAGATCTGAGATTTCTGCCATTTGATGACTTGAAAAAAATTTTCTCTTGACTTTTCCCCATTCCCTACCTTACCTCCACTGGAACTCTAAGCAGATTTATTTTTAAACTCTTGCGTCCTTCAGTATCTCTTTTGTATTTTTCATTTCTTTGTCTCTCTGACTTCAACTTCAATATGGGTTTCAAATCCATCTTCTAGATTACAATAATTTCTTAAAATTGTGTAATCTTCTGTTCAACATATTTACTAAGTGTTTTACTTACTTTAAATTTATCTAACTTCAACCTAGTTTTCTATCAAATACAGTGAAGTCAGTTTTCTGGCTCTTCCTTTCAAGCCTTTCTTTTTCCTCAAAAATACAGAACACACTTAAAATATATTCTATAATGGATAATTAAAATACCCAAACTGCTTGTTGAACTATATGATTTTGTTGTCTTACCTTTCTTCTGGCTTTTGTTATTATTATTTTTTTTACTGTTATGTATTTTCTAATTTCTTTTTGTATTAGTTCAAGGTTTCTGACTTTATCAGAATTGCTGGATGCAAATTGTGAAGACTGATTTGTTTTGGTTTGTTCTTTGTGGGTCAGGACCACTAAAATTAAAGCCTCCGCTCTCAGGCCCAAGCTTAGTCAGCAGGGTATTAATTGCCTACGTGTTAATGAACAACCTGAAAGCCTCTGATGAATGATAAAATTTCAGAGATTTCTTCCCTTCAATTCAAGTCAAGTTGCCTTAAATACTAATGTGGATGCCATCTCATCTGCTTTAGAGAGGATGTCTCATGATATTCCCTTCAGTCTTGCCCTCATGGTGTTTAAAATGGAAGCTCAAATTCACCAAGATTTGACAAATTCAACTGAAGATGACAGACAGTTGTTGACCATAGGTTTTATTACTTTTTTCTCATTTTTTTTTCATCTTTGGTGCATTTGCAGATTCTTTGTTTTCCTGTCATCTCAATAATGTTTTAAACTATTCTTACAATAAAGATTTAACCATCTTTTCTCATTTTTTAATACAGGAGTGTTATTCAAGTATCCACATTTTCTTATATTCCTGAAAATGTAAGATATAGTAACGTTTAGGGATGGAAAAGAGTATCTTGTGTTTTAGACTTATAGATGATGACAATGTATCTGATTAGGATAGAAAAATCTGGGCGATATCAATATTATCACTGTCTGGTCATGGCCTTGATAGTGTAGAATAAAAATGAGAGTAAAATAGGAAACAGCCACTGCATAATTGATAGGACTGGATGGTGAACTGCTTTGTGGTGGGTGAGATCTTAAAAGAGCATGATGATTATGTCAATTACTATAGCCTACATGTCTAAGAGGATTAATGAATAGGTGTTATTGGATCAAGCTGATGTAAATAATAGAAGCAATGAGAATTATATAAAATATAGAGCTTTATTCTTTCAGCAAAAAAAAAATCAGAATATAGGAGCTTAATGTTCTCTTAGTAGCTCACTCGTTATGAGACTCAATGAGGTCAAAAGCTTATCTTGGACTTTTTATTGCTATAAAATGGTTCCTATAGTTCCAGACATCAGGTAGGTATTAAAAGGTAATAAAAGGGAGGGAGTAATGGTGTTTGCTTCAACTCCCTTGTATCCGAATAATATTTTCCAGAGAGATCCTTTCTGTCTCTAATTCTGTTGTAGGCTCCTTGTTACATTTCACTGGCAAAAAAGAAATACTGAGAAAATATTTAACTTTTCCTACTTTTATAACAAAAGAGGATATGATTAGAAATCAATGCTGAATTATACAGACTATAACATATCTGAATTAGACAGACTGTCTTCCTACATATGGAGTTAAAGCATCTGGTTTCAAACTTGCCAGGTAAGGAGACATTCAGATATTCAAGTGAGGCTTCAACATGATTTTCATTAGGACATAAATAGCAGGTGATGCCATAAGAACAGGAGCTCTTCCTGCCTTCCCCTCCCAGAGTGGGGGATAACAGAAGTGCATCACCACCCCCTTAGCTTCCCTTTTTAATAAAACAGACATACATTTTATATTAAGCATACAAAAATGTACCCCCTAACACTAATAAGAAATTTGGAAGTATTACAGAAATTGCCTTTTTTTTTTTGGCACCTGAGATCAAACTCAGGACCTTGTGCTTGCCAGGCAGGCACTTATGCGGCTGAGCTAAATCCTCAGCCCTCAGAAGTGGCCATTAAAACAATCTTGACTTTTTTTTTTGCAAATAATGCTTAAAAATTATTATGTTTAGCTGGGGATATAGCTCAGTGGCACAGAACCTTCCTGACAAGCATGAGGTTTTATGTTCGACTGCTGGTACCCCTCCCAAAAAAGGTAGTTTAAAATTATTATACTTAATTTTCATGAAATAATCCATTCTTTCAATCCCAGAAATCTATATCTGTTTTCTTATTCATCTTTATGGTCTATCTATAAATTTGATAGAAAGAATGCACTAAACAATAATAACAGTAATGAGTTGGCATCTAAAAATTTTAAAATAAAGCTAAATATATTTGGTAGAAAAATTTGCTTTCTGTGAAACCTTTCCTTGAAAAAATTAAAAACAATTCTACATCAAAATGTTACTATTTTACTAAATGTCAGAAGATTTTATCAATCCTTAACTAATTTATTAAGAACACGATTCTGTAATTTACAGAAAAATATGAATTTAAGATGACAAAGTGTAAGACAATCCTCTTGGTAGCAAATCTTTTCTTACTGCACAAAAAAACAAAGATGACTCCTATGTTTCTTATGAATTTTCACTTTTAACGTGTTAATGAGAATGCAAGCACCTTGAGGGTAAAGAACATTACTGTGTCTCAAGCCATATTCTAGAAACTGGGGCAAATATAGAAGGTAGAATGGGAAGTCACAAACATTTCAAGGAAAAAAATTAGTAGAATCAAAATAATGTCCTTTTTCATGATTACTGGACGGACCTACATTATAATGAAACAGTATGGTTTAAAATTCTAGCTAAATATATTATCTTTCTTTTATTATAGCACTGTAAATATTCTTACAAATCCTAAATATGTTCCCAAATCCTTTATGGAGTATGAGTTTTATGAATTACTAATATTATAGCTCACTGAAAAATTATGATAATATCAATAAACAGCAAAGGACCATGATTTAATTTTTTTCTTTTAATGTGTGCACTTTTTAATAACTATAACAGTTAAAAATATTTTTAAAAGGCATATGTACCAAAGTTTTTAATATTCTACCACTCAAAATTCAAAAATAGGTTGTTTTCATGAACAGATACATGAAATAAAATAATACCATAACAGAAGGGTGCTGTATCTGTGTTTAAAGAAGGGGTTGTTGGCAAACACCACAGCTCACTTCTGCTGAAATGTACACAACTGATATATGCAGCACAGAAAGCTGGCACCAAGGGCTTACAACCTTAATTTGCCTGCAAGAAGGAACAGAGATTTACCTTCAGAGCACGTTCTTGATTGTTTTCAGCAGTCAGATGTCTCATGTTGTTTGCTGAAGTCTGGTTCTGCTCTTTCAGATGATGAAGCTCCTGCTCGAGCCGTTTGCACTGCCACGGGGGAAGAATCCCATTAAGTAAAGGAGTTAGCACATTTTTTTCACCAAGCTGTATGAATTAATGTAAATAATACCACTGTATTCTCTAAAGAGCCAAGTTTTGCCCCCAACAATAAAGGTAAGTAAAAGTAATACTGACTACAAACAAAATAACATTGTTCACAGCATTCTGATTATTCGATTATAAATTTTAGTTAGTTTTATTAATATAAATATCTCACAAAATACTTCTTTCCAAATTAATATCCAACTGTATTTAAAATTATTTTCCTTATTAACCAAATTATTCTATGTAGTTGTTAATTGAATTGAACATGCTTCTAAAACTTACAAAGGATTCTAATTAAGTAATATATTCGCTGATGAATTATTTTTCAAATAGAATTACTCATAAAAATATACATAAAGTAGTATGTTTACACAATAATTACACAGGCTATCAAGTGATACATTGCAATATAGAAGAGCATGAAGATATGTGAGAGTAAAGAAATACAATATTAAACATGTTTCAGTAAAAATCAAAAACTCATCTCTTTATTTTTAATGATGGTATCTGTTTCCATACCCAGTACTTCTCAGTGGTGAGCAATATACAAATCCTTTGAAAAGACTTACCAGACTCCTGACATTGAGTTAGATATATTTTTATACAAATATTGAGTATACACATGCCATGCATACAAAATATAATTATAAAACAGATACAAATTAAAGTAATCAGAAAATCAAGACATTTCAAATTAATAGGGAATTTGTTACAGTTAAATTCTGCAAATATGATACAGAACTGACTGATTCTATGGCTGATACATTTACATCACCATGTCTATTCCACCATGTGCTTTGCAGGTGCCACATGTCTTTTAATTACATGAAAGCTCTCTGGCATGTATCATTTGACCTTTATTGAGAGAGAATACATGATTTCCATTTAACTATGTCTCTGTCCTTTTTAAGCCCATAACAGTTAAAATATTTGGTCATGGAGTGAAGACAAAATCATGTGCCAAGAAAATTAATAACATTATTTTGTTAAAACCTAGTACCAATGTCTTTACTAAACTTATCCTTTATATTTTTAATCAATTTTAATACAGAATTATTAGGTATTATAACAGAATGACCAAATGTGATCTATGAGAATTCAAAGGTAAGTTTTGACTACCTATGAATGACTCGTGGAGCAGTTATCTGAATTGATTTTACTTTGGATACATGGTTTTCTAAGCTAAAACTGAAGAAGAGAATATTAAAAAATCCAACAAAGGTGGAAATATTAGGGTTATATATAAAGCGAGGAAGCATAGTAAAGAAGTATTTCACCAGTAATTTATTAATTTAAGTAAATTTGAAATGGCATCCAAATAAATGATCTCATCTATATGAAGCAAAAAATAAAAAATAAATTTACATATTTCGGCTGAAGACATAAATGTGCCATTTATTTTCATTTATGAGGTTTAACATTGACCTAGGATGAAAACTGTGAGTTCACTAGACTCAGTGTTTCCGTTCTAATATTTAGGTCTGCAATTTTCATTTTATTTTCATACTTGGCAAGATGTAAGAGTCTAGATTCCGTCTTGTGCACATGGTAACCAGTTTTCCCAGCACCATTTTTGAAAAACACTATCTTTCTTCCAGTATGTGCATTTGGCCTCTTTGCCAAAGATCAGATGGCTCAATGTGCTTCAGCTTGTTTCTGCTTCCGCTATTCTGTTCCATTAATTCATACTTCCATTTTGTTGGTAGCACCGTGTTGTTTTTAAGCACTGTAGCTTTGTACTACAACCTCAAATCTGGAATTATGTTTCCTGTTTTTTTCCTATTGTCCAGGATTATTGTTGTCTTCTGATTTTTGTTTCATACATATGTAGGATTGTTTTCTCCAGTTTTGTAAGGAATGTAGTTGGTAATCTAATTTAACTGGGGTTAAATCTATGCATCAATTTTGTTAAAATAGCTATTTTGATGATATTTCTGTTGCTTATTCAGAATGAAAGGATACTTTTCTATTTTGTAATGTTTTCTTTGATATCCTCTTTTAGAACACTTTAGCTTTATTAAAGAGGTCTTTTATTTCCCTGGTTAGGGTAATTTCTGAATATTTTTCCTGAGGTAACTGTGAATAGTATTAGTTTCCAAACTTCTGAATGGCTTAATCGCTGGTGTACAGGAAAACTATTGACTTTTGTGTGTTGATTTTATATGTGGACCCATTACTGAATTTGTTTATTAGGAGTGGTTTAGTGAAATTTTTGGGTCATGTCATCTGCAGGTAATGAATTTTTGGATCATGTTAACTGTAAATAATGATAATTTAACTTCTTGTTTCCTATATATTCCCTTTTATTTCTTTCTCTTGCCTGGTTTCCCAGGCTAGTGTTTCAACTACTGTATTGAACAAGAGTGGTGATAGTGGAAATCTTTGTCTTGCTCCTGATTTTAGAGAAAGTTTTTGTCTATTCTCCAATTAATATAATGTTGGCAGTAGGTCTGTCGTGACTTTTATTAGGTTGATATAAGGTCCTTCTATACCTGTTTTCTTCAGAGGCTTTTCTTATGACTGGATGGTGGATATTTTTTGCACCTGATGAGATGATCCTGATTTTTGTCCTTGTTTGTGTGATGGACCACATTTACTGATTTGTGTACACTGCATCATCCTTGTAGTCTTAGGATAAAGTTTCACTGGTCATGATGTATGATGTTTGTGATGATTTGTTGCATTCTGGCTACCAGCATCCTGTTGAGACTTTTTGTATCTATAGTCATTATAAAGACTCTTCTGTAGTTTTCTTTTTGGTTGGTCCTTGTCTGGTTTTTTAAATCTAAATATTGCAAGCTTGTAGCAATGAGTTTGAAAGTATTCTTCCCTTTTCAACTTCACTAAAGAGGTTGAGGGGTATAGGTATTACATCTTTCCTAAAACAGTCTTGGACATTGAGTAGAATCAGCAGTGTATCCATCAGGTCCTGTTCTTTTCTAGTTGATAGCTCCCCGCTCCTTTTGTTACTCTCTGTTTAACTACTGTTGCCTGTTTTTGAACCGATCAAATTTTTTATATATTTTTGGTTCAGCTTTGGTGATTAATATGTTTCAAGGAATCTGTCCACGTCTTCTGGATTCTGAGATTTGTACAGAGTGAGTAAAAGTTTCATAGCAGTTACTACTAACTTGGGTTTAGCACTCACTGTCTGTTGTGATTTTGCCTTTTTCCTATTTGCATTGATGTATCTTTTCTTTCCTTCTTATGGTGAATTTAGTTAGGGGTTCATTAATTTTGTTTCTTCTTTGAAAGCCAGCTCTTTCATTCTTTGTACTTTTATTAGTCTCAATTTCATTATCTGCTGCTCTGCTCTTTATAAGTTTCTTCCTGATACTTGAGTGGGATATAGACTATTCTTATTTTTCTAGGTTACTTATTTGTACTTGCTCTGTTTGGAGTAGTCACAGTAACGAATTTCCTTCTTATGACTCCTATTACTTTCCCATAGATTCCAGTATGCTGTACTGCCATAATCATATGATTTTAGGAGCTAATTTCTTCATTGATTTTTGTCACTGACCCACAGATTATTTAAGTGTGTGCTGTTTTATGTCCAAGGATGTGGCAAATTTCTGGTGTTTTGCCATTGATTTCTAGTTTCGGGGCACTAACATACATGAAGTATAAGTTCTTTGTATTTAAGTAAGCTTTATGGGCTGGTACGTTGGTTTATTTGGAGAACATTTTGTGTGCTAGTATGTTAGTTTATTTGGAGAACATTTTGTGTGCTTCTGAGAAGTATGTAATGCTGTATTGTAGTTAGGTCCATTTGTTCAAAGCTATGCTTCAATTGATTACTTCTTTAATTTTTTGTTCTCTTTGATCTATTTGTGAAAGTTGGGTATTGAGGTACCCAGTATGATAGTGTTGATGCTATTTTGAAATCTGATTTCTAATAGTGTCTGTTATGAAGTTGGGTGTGCCAATGTTTGGCATATATATATATATATATATATACAATTGTTATCTCTTCCTGTTGAGTCACTCAACTAACATAGAGTAATATTCTCTGCCTTATCCAGTGAGTTTTAACTTGAAGTCAATTATGTCTGAAAATAAGATAGCTACTCTGCTTGCTGTTGGAATCTCGTGGCATGGAATATTATTTTCCTTCTATTGACTTTTATAGAATATGAACTTTTTCTTGGATTAGAGGTTTCTTGTATGCAGTCTATTGTTGGGTTTTGTTTTTTGATCAGGTCTGCCAATCTGTGTCTTTTGATTGGGAAGATGAAACCATTTATTTTGAAAAGGAATGCTTTAGCAGCAAATTATTACTGAGAGATACTAACCTATTTCTTGTGTTATTTTTCTATTGTTGATTAATTTTATTTTTCCCATTTCTTTAAGTAATCATATTTGCTGATTGTTGGCTTCATTATTTCTAGCAATATATCCTTGCGACTGTTTTGGAGTAATAGATCAGTGGTCATGAATTTCTTGAAATGATCTTTGTCATTAAATGTCCTTGTTTCTCCAAGAATTTTAAAAGATAATTTTTCAGAAGATAAGAGTCTCAGTTGAAAGTTGTTTTCCACTTAAGGCTTGTAACACTTCACTCCAACATCTTGTGGCCTTTAAGACTGGTGTTGAGAAGCCTGCTATAATCCTGATGACTTTATATTTACAGTGGATTTATTGCTCTTTTTTAATTTACAGTTTCTAAGATTCTGTACTTTAGCTGCACTCCTGGATTTTGACTATCATATGCAGTCCAGAAGTTCTTCTGTATTGACAATTTGGGGTTTCATATCCCTCATATAATTGTATGTTGGATTCTTTGCTCATAGTTTAAAAGTTTTCGGCTTGTAAATTTTACTACAGTATACTTAATTTTTTATTTCATGAATAATGCTCTCTAATTTTCTCTAATTACAATTAATTTTAGGTTAGCCTTCTTTGCCTTATCTAGTAACTACTGTTATGATTTTGGATTTCTT